ATATAGCTACAAAATTACTTCTCACTGACAAGAAGCACATTTCCCAAGATTTTTGTCATTTAAGAGACTCTACAATATTTCCCCAGGAAATATTCCTTTTCTAAGTTCCAGAAGACACTTGCTGTCAAGAGCCAAGCACAGCTGCTCAGACACAGAGGAAGCTGGTGCTCAGTAAAAACCAAACCAAAATAAAACCCTGCCCAGGCGTTCAAGGATGGCAACGTTCCCAGATCTATAGCTTGATATAAAAGAAAATAAAACTGCCGGAAGCAGAAGTTTTTCCTTTCAAACTGACTTCTTATAATGCACATAAACAGAACAACAATAGGATTCACGAATATAAAAATAATGTTTGTTCATGGAAAACCTGCAGCCCTCACCCTTGTTTCCTGCTCCAGACACCTATGTTTGATAAAGGCATCTAAGAATGACCATAGAGATTTCAAGTGTTACTCAAAATGGGGAAGAAAAATAATGAAAGTAAGAAGTATTAAACTAAGATGAGCAGCAACCAGCGTATGAGACTGGCAGTGAATGATGAGATGTGTTCTTCGGTTTCATAGCTATCATCCCCTAACCAAGTCAGAAGCATTGGTTTTGGCTTCCAGTATGTGGGAGAGGCAGGGAGGGGAGGATGAAACAGTGACCTAATACCTGCAGTGGGTCAGTGGGGTTGGGTTGTTTTCATGTTATCTCATTTACTTATCACAATGCCATGAAGTCTTACACCAACTTTTTCTAATGTCATGAAGTTGACACCATGACAACTATTTTATAAATAAGAAGCTGAGATTCTCACAGGTTAAGTGACTTGTGGAAGGTCATGTATCTGGTGAGTGGTGGGTGGTTACCAGGTCTGTGTATTTCTAAAGTCACCAAACTCCTAGCTGTAATCAACTGAGTGCTTTAAGTATTTTACAAAATAAATAAATTGGGAACACACTGAGTAAATAAAGTTGAACAGGTTTCTTTATTGCAAGACTTCTAGAAGCCTTTATTGTTTTAATTGTATATCGTAAATCTTTATGTGTAGTACAGAGTTTGTCTGGTCTCCCTAAACTTAATTCACATGGGACTTTTTCTTTTGCATGTGGTTTGGTTCTCTGGTGCTGCTCTAACAGAAAACACCATAAATGGATGGTGTTAACGAACAGAAATTTATTCTCTTAAAATTTAGGAGTTCAAAGTGCCAGCTCTAGGGGCTGGGTGAAAGCCCCTTGACCTTGAGTTCAGTTCTGCCTTTTGTTTCTGGCCCACTGCAGCTGGAGGCTTCTTTTTACTCAGACAGCTGCTGGCTGCTGAGGCTGACAAACTCAAGGTAGGCAAATAAAATGGCACAGTCCAAAAACTATCAAGCAACATGACAGGCCACTAGTTCAAGTCCAGAAATAGTCTCAAGATCGGCAGACACTATGACAGACCACTGAGATGAAGATTCGGCCAAATGCAGGATCCAGATGTGCCAAGAAGCTAGAGAGACGTTTGTTTCTCAAAGCTGCTTCTTATCTACTGGAAACAGACCACATCTCTAAGGCAGCTACTCAGCTACTAATAGCAGATTCCACCATGGAGCTGATTACTAGTCTCTTCTTGGGGAATAACTATGTCAAGCTGCCAAGACACTCAAAAGCAGGCCCAGTCAAGTTGACACAAAACCTTAACTACCATGAATGGAACAGTTCATGGGACTGGTGTTCCTGGAAAGCCATGTTGGGAATCACTGTAGAACACCCTTCCAATCTCATTGAGATCCTGGATCTGTTCTTGAGTGGACCTGGCACTACTTTTGGAGGAGTATAGGAAAAGCAAACAGCCAAGCAGGAAGTACTCTGTCAGAAATACCTATACAGGGTATGGGAATACAAGGAAGGAAACAGGGAAGTGAAAGGGGAACAGGGAGGAGGGGAACTAGGTCTGGGTAATTATAATAGTAACAATAGATAGTTCTGGTCACTTGTTGCATGGCGGTCCTCTTTTGAGTGCTTATTTAGTTCTCATAAGCACCTATGATACAGAAATCACTGTAACCCCATTTCACAGAGAAGGAAATTGAGGCACAGAGAGGTTGGGTAACTTGCCCAAATAGCTCATAAATCTCTGAGTGTTGAACTCAGGTAGTCAGAGTCCTTAACAACTGTATTATACTTGCTCATATTCAAGAGACAATTAATTGGGGTTGTGTGAGGTAGAGAAAGCTGGTCGTGGGAGAAGATTCATATCATAATTATCCAAATGACCTACTGGTGCCTATTGTACCAGGAGAAGCCCTGGTGGTGCCGTGGTTAAAGTGCTTGGCTGCTAACTGAAAGGTCGGTGGTTCGACTTCACCAGCCACTCCAATGGGAGAAAGACATGTCAGACTGCTTCTGTAAAGATTTTAAAGCCTTGGAAACCCTGTGAGGCAGTGCTACTCTGTTCCATAGGGCCACTGAGTTAGAATTGAGGACAGTGAGGTTTAGTTTTGATTGTACCAGGCAATGTGATAGATTCTGGGGATTCAGTTCTGAATAAGACCTACGTGGTTCCTGCCCCAACAGTACTCACAGTCTAATGGAAGGGATAAGATCATTATAACACAGAATGGCATGTTTTTTATGGGTAAGGACATGCAGAGGACTGTGGGAGCAAGGAAGGCACCTGACTCAAACGTAGGATGGTTTTGATGCTTCATTAGGTACTTTCCCTATATGATGCTTGAAAGGAAGGTGAGTCAGTTTAGATGGGTTTCAGGGATTGGACTTTCTTGTTCTCTCTACTATTTGGGTAATATGCTGATTCTTCCTTAGGCTAGACTCTGGAAATGAACACAACCACCCCGAACTCTTGGTAGGCCCTCTGCTTGCTCCCTGTTGCAGACTGATGTTTGACATGATGCATGCGGCACTTCAATAACCAAACCTCAACAGTGAAGGCCAGCATGGACTCTCATTCCCAAATTTTGAGCTTCAGCAAGCAGTTATGGAATACTGGTATCTCAGAGCTGCACTAAAACTCCTTACCAGACATTAGAATCCCTTGCACAAGATTTACAACAAATGGTTATCCAGCCTGTATTTGAGTACTTTTTATGATCTGTAATACACCATCATACAAAATGGCCCTCTCTATGTTTTAGAAAGCTCTAGTTACCAAAAGGGAGCTCTGGTGGCACAGTGCCTAAGGTATTTGACCACTGAACAGAAGGCTGATGGTTCAAACCCACTAGCCACTCCTCTGAAGGAAGACTGGGCAATCTACTTTCGTAGTGATATCACCTTGGAAACCCAAGGAGGGGTCGCTATGAATCAGAACTGACTCAATGGCAGTGAGTTTTCTTTCTTTTCTTTTTTTTGAATTACCAAAAAGTTCTCACTTTCAGAGACCTACAATCTATTTCTTTACAACCTCTACTTGAAGGTTTATAATTTTGTATTCTTGAGCAACACTGAAAGGTTTGTAAATGTTTGCCAACAACTCTAACTCTTCCCTTGGGGGTTCATGTTCATTTGGAGGTTGTCTCAAATAACATGGCAGAGTGGGTGAGCAGAGCTCAGATTGTTATGGTGGAAGACACTTGTCAAAAAGACTTCTTGGTGGTTACAAGCGCAGATTTTAGAATCATACAGATCTGACTTCAAGTCCCAGCTCAACTATTTACTAGCTGTGATCATTTATAAATATGTGACTTTGGGTGAGTTGTTTAATCAAATGAGGATGATAGCACCTACTCGTTAGTGGTGCTGTGAAGATCCCATTGGCCAGGCTGGTAGGCACTTCGCTTGGTGTTGGCCACATAGTGCATGCTCAGGAAATGAAATCTATAAAGTCTGTGGGTGAAAAGCACATATTTGATTTTGCATATAAACCTACGGGAATCCCTCTTGATGGCAGTGATTCTCATCTGACGGTCATCCCACCTATCCTGAAGGCTCTATTTGAAGGTTGTATTATAGATTGTTTCTGGGTAACTTTGTTGCTAGGTGCTATTGAGTCTATTTTGACTTATAGTGATATCATGACAGAGTTGAACCGCCTCATAGGGTTTTCTGGGCTGCAGTCTTTATAGGAGCACATTGCCAGGTTTTTCCCCCACAGAGCTGCTGAGTGAGTTTGAATTGCCACCCTTTGGTTTCATATCCAAGCACTTAACTGTTGCAACACTACGGCTCCTTTGGGTAACCTTAGTCCACTGAAAAAACCTGAGAAATACAAGATTTGGAGTCAGAGACCTGAAATCAAACCCTGATTCAGTCCCTTTTCCATAATCTTGAGCCTTGGTGTCAAATTGTCTGAGCTTGGTTTCCTCACTTATGAAATGCACCTACATGGGGAGAATAGGAGCTCTGGTAGCATAGTGCCTAAGGCACTTGACTGCTAACCAGAAGGCTGGTGGTTCAAACCCACCAGCCACTCCTCGGAAGGAAGGTTGGGCAATCTACTTCCGTAGTGATACTGCCTCAGCCACCCAAGGAGGGGTGGCTATGAGTCGGGGCCGACTTGACGGCACATAACAACAACAATAACACATGGGGAGAATAGGGCAAATGCCCCCCATGAAGCACTATGGAGCAGTCAAGAGCAGCAGATTAGAATGTGAGCAGTGTGGACGGATCTGAAAAACCATTCTGAGCAAAGGAAAAAAAGATAAGCAAAATGAGAAATATAAGAATGCTGTTTATGTAAAATACAACATGTTCTATAACATCCATGCAAACTATAGAAATTAAATACATTGCAATGATTGTCTATGGAAGAAAGAGAATACAAGTGGGGCAGGAAGTTAAAAGGGATAAACTGAACAACAGAGGATGCTTGGAAAATTAAAAAATTAATACATAAATAACCAGAACAATGATGCTCCCCTACTTCCCTCACAAGGTTATTCTCAGGATCTGATGAGATTATGTATGTGAAAGCAAAAAAATTAATTTACTATTTTCAAAAGTTAAATTAATGTATAACCTTCATATTGGACAAACGAACTGAACTGGCTTTGATAGAAATTCCACATTGCTCTTCAGCAGGAAACTGGTGCCAAGGCAGTGCCCATGAAGCCTTGCCCTGGCTTCAGAGTCTGCTGAAGAGATGACTTCAAAGTTCTTCATGAAGGAGGCTGCAAGGCTCTGCCCGCACTTGGGAGACACCACTTGCTGCCAGAGCCAGAAGCAGCAGCAGCCCCTTGCTATGGAGCCACTGCAGTTGGCCCCCACGGGCCCACGGAAGAAGAGGACCAGGCTGACGGACACACCAACGGCCTCCACTTCTGAGGACATCAAGTTTCGGGATCTGGTCCTCTTCATTTTGGAGAAGAAAATGGGAACATCCCGCAGAGCCTTCCTCATGGAGTTGGCCCGAAGGAAAGGCTTCAGGGTTGAAAATGAGCTCAGGTAGGACATCACTGATTTCATTTTGTAAATAAGCAGGGACTTTGTGAACAGATCCTTTGGAACCCAAGAAAGATAAGTTTTCTTCCATATATGGAAGAAGTGATGTTCCCACTGGGAACAAAACACATCTGAAACCAAAAAGCAATCTTAAGACAGTTAAGGGGAAAGAGACGGAGGGCTGAACACAATTGAAACTAGTCCGCACTAAGTGATAAGATAGTTTTCTGTTTGTTTTTGCCTATCATTATTATGAGATAAGGCAACTAATAAACAGGAAACAATTTGGAAAATTTAACATTAAAACCACTCAATTTCTTTCTTGATCAAATTAAGCAAAACACCACTGAGTTCAATTTTTTTTAAAAAAAAAAATTTGGCTACTTTGAGACAAGAGAGAATGGTTTGGTTGCTTGACTCTTAACTAAACATCTGGCTGTGCTGAGCTAACCAATGTTTAGGATGGACTAGCATTAGTGACTGTAGCTGCCTCACCACAGGCACTCAAGTGTAGCTTCAATCATGCTCTTCTGAAGAGCAATCGAGTGGGATTCGGAGACAGAAGGATGCTGCTTAGAGATTTAGTGACAACTATGTAGAGGGGTGGTCACCAGGCTGATTGTGATGAGATCAGAGCCCAGGTTAGTCAACAACTGAAGCAGCCATTTGGGCTCCCCACACTGGTTCACTCTGAAACCCATTCACTAACCCCAGCAATTGTCCTTGTTCTGTTATATAAGCTAGTGTATAATAAATGGGAGAAAACAAAACAAAATCCAGCAACTAGTCATGTAAGAACTTCGACAGAAATGCTCGTTCCAAACTGAACTCCCATGGGGCTTGTGATGGAGAAAGAATGATGATCAATGCACTTATCTGGCTGCACTTATCTGGTTGGGGATGTCCCTGGAATAGATGAACCACAATTTTTTTTTTCAGGAAAAACTCTTAAGAACTGAAAATATATTTTTATTTTAAAAAATAGTCATTGGCCATTGGTATTTGAAAATAAAAGCTGAGCAGTATTTCTTGATGGAAGAACATCAGCTTCAAAATGTCAGGGAGGTATATTTTAAAAATCAGTCATCACTGATACTCATATAAAAAGTCAATGTCATAGAAATATTTTATTTTCTACTAAATGCTCAATTCAGAAATTCCTGAGTGTCTTGTGATCTGTCTCCCATCTGATTTCTCTTTACATCATCTCCTCTTCTCCTTCTCTGATTTTATTTTTTTAAAAACCCCCAACAATCACCCTTGATCTCATTTTAGGCTTACCAGCCTCTTCATCCTAGATTTCATCTGGTTGTTATATCTGCCTAATTTTGTCAAACTTACATAAAATGTTGTAAGTTTATGTAAGTATGTACAGACTTACATAAAATGTTGGAGAATGGGGGAAAAAATACACAAGAGGCCAGAGAAATAGCCCATCACAAATCAGAAAAAGACAAAAAATCAAACCCATTGCTGTTCGGTCCATTCTGACTCATGGCGACCTTGTGTGTCACAGAGTGGAACTGCCCCATAGTGTTGTCTTGGATGTAATCTTTATGGAAACACATCACCACACCTTCTTCTAGCAATGCTGCTGTGTGGGTTTGAACCGGCAACCTTTGTTAGTTATCGAGTGTAAACTATTGGTGTTACCCAAAGCCCTCAAAAACAAGCAAACAAACAAAAAACCAGAAATGAAACTCCTTAGCAAATATGGATCTGCTTTTTGCAGTGAAAAAGTTTATCAAGGGGCTGGCAGGAGGGCAAGAGTCAGATGGTCCTAAGGTACCACTTACGTGGAAAGCTGTCTGTGAAAGAGTCCGATCTTCCAGCAAGGGCCCACTGATTTAGTTATAACCACGGCTATGAGCACATCCTTGCTGGCTGAGGCAAGCACTCAGGTAGACAGACGGGCAGGAGGTAAGTTTCTTCTGTCGGCAGGAGAGCGGAAAGGCAGCTCTGTGCCCCGGATGCTCGCTGCCGAGGACGAGCCCAGCTGCTCAAACAGAGGAAACTGGTGCACGGTGAGCAAGCTGCTGCTGTGCATGTGATGGTGGCAAAGTTCCCAGGCTGGCAGCTTGGAAGACACATGAAATAAAAGTGTGTTCTATAGCTCAAAATAAACCACAGGAAGTAGAAGTCCTCGCTCTCAAACGGAATTTCTGTACACAGATACATAGACTTTAATTGGAAAGGAAAATATAATTATAGAGGAAATTGGAGATGAATCCAGAGACCACAGTTCCCAGTTTTGTTCCTTCCCAGCCAGGTGGTAGGGGGCAAAGCCCTTCTATCTCCCTCTGAGCTCAGTTTCCTGACAAATGCTCTATCTACTGTGATCACCAAATGAGATGATGGGTGCCAATGTGCTCGGGTAAATTAAGACAGCTCTATAAATGTAAAGTGGGATCATTTTATTTTTACTTAGCTGGATCCATTGATCTTCACAGCAAAACCCTATGGAGAAGGTTCTGTTCCCACACTGTGAACTAGGTCACACATATAAACAAATAGAGCAAAGACAGGAAGGAAACTCATTGAAATGTGTTAAATGGTTATTTTGGGGAGGTAGTAAGGAGAGATTATGGCTGTTTTAACTTTCTGTGTTTTCCAAATTTTTTGCATTACACACATACTTCAAAAGCAAATATAATTTTTAAAAAGCTGGTTTTTAAGAGAAATGATACATCTTGAAAATGAAGGCTCTATCTTTCCTACAATTGGGTACAATTGGAAGGCATTGTTTTCAATGAGTCTCAGTGTATAAGACTCAAAGAAGAGGAGCTAAAAAAAAGGAAATTAGAAAAATAGATAGCAGTCTCCATAGTTCCTAGCACATTATTTGGCTATCTGGAAGATTAAAAAAAAAAAACAAAAAACAGATTGCTGCTTCACTCAGGCCCAAACACACAGGATAGAAATGAGATGCCTGAAAGTACGGAATGGTCTGGAGCCATTTCATTCCCCAGCATGCATACATGGTATCCTTCATTAATATTTATGTTATATTGCAAAAGTCATGCTATTCAGTGGGCCATGGGAAGCTGGTTCTTAAAACCCAAATCAAGGGTGTCAAGTCCTGCAAGGTATTTTTGTACATTCATGAAAAGGATATTGAATTGTATTCTATGAACATCTTAAATTTTAGGGCAACTTCATGATCTTTGGGAGCTCTGGTAGCGTAGTGCCTAAGGCATTTGACTGCTAACCAGAAGCTGACAGTTCAAACCCACCAGCCACTCCTCGAAGACAGGTTGGGCAATCTACTTCCACAGTGATATCACCTTGGAATGCAAGGAGGAGTCACTATGAGTCGCATCCGACTCCACAGCAGTGAGTTTGGTTTTGGTTTTTGGTTCACAGTCGTTGAGTCACCTAGGACAAACTAGGGAAGGATCCTAATCTGGTGATTTTCATATTCTCATTTCATCCTGAGTTCTAGTCGGAGTTAAGCTTTATTCTGTCAACACTCCTTTACGAACACATTAGCTAAGCTTACTCTCTATCTTAAAAGGAGCCCTGATGGCACGATAGTGAAGTGCTTGGATCAATGTGGTCAATGGTTTGAACCTACCAGCTGCTTTTGGGAGAAAAGATCTGGGGATCTGCTCCCATAAAGGTTACAGCTTAGAAAACCCTATGGGGCAGTTTTACTCTATCCTGTAGGGATGCTATGAGTTGGAATCAACTGATGGCACACAACAACATGAGTCAAATGGCTGATGTTGAGGAAGAAAGTCATGGCCAGAAAGGATGGCTTTCCAGGTTCACATCCATTCAGCAGCTTAGCACTTGCTGAGTTCCACAGTTCAAACAGCTGGTAACCCACCAGATAGTACTATAATTCTGCCTAAAAATAAAACAAAAACAAAAAAACTCACTGCTGTTTGAGTTGTTTCTAACACTCCTTGGGTTTCTGAGGCTTTAAGTCTTTACAGAAGCAGACTACCTTATCTTTCTTCCACAAAGCAGCTGGTGGGTTCGAACCATTTGCTTAGTAGTCAAATGCCTTAACCATTACACCACCTTGCCTAGATCTGCAAGGATACAATTGGAAAGCATTGTTTTCAATGAAAGCAAGATATGATATCATGCCACTACCAATAAAGTGTTCTGTAGGTGCACATGCAGTGATTGGAGCATTGGTAGTTTAAGAGTTAAGTGCTCCACTGCTAACTGAAAAGTTGGTGGCTGGAACCCACCTGACATCTAACTGGGAAAGAAAGACTTGGAGATCTTCTCCCATAAAGATCTCAGCATAAGACATTCTATAGGACAGTTCTACTCTGTCAATGAGTCAAAATCAACTCCACAACACCTAACAACAACAAAAATGAAACCAAGAAACGTGTTTCCATTATTTAGTGCTGCTATATTAAAAAAAAAATACCATAAGTACGTGACTTTAACAAACAGAATTTTATTTCATCATAGTTTAGGAGGCTAGAGGTCCAAATTCAAGGTCCCAGCTCTACAGGAAGACTTTCTGTCTCTGTTGACTCTGAGGAAAGTCTTTGTTTCCTTTCAACATGTGTGAACCCAACATTCCTTGGAGATCTCCATGTGTCTTGGCATCAGTCTTCCACTGGGGCTAGGAGGTTCTCAGCACAGGGACCACTGGGTCCAGAAGATGTGCTCTGCTTCCAGCTCTTCTTTTTTGGTGGTAGTAGGTCCCTTGAGCTACCACAGTAAGTCTCTTCTTACTTATTTACTCTCTTTTATATCTCAGAGGAGATTGACTCAAGATACAACCTAGTCCTGTAGATTATATCCTGTCTCATTAGCATAACTGCCTCTAATCCTATCTCATTAACATCACAGAGGTTAGGATATACCCCACTTAGAATAATTACATCAGATCACAAAATGGAGGAGAATTACATAACACTAAGAATCATAGCCTAGCCAAGTTGACATATACTTTGGAAGGACATAACATTCTACCCTTTGGCCCCCAAAATTTCATCCCTTGTCACATGTAAAACACATTCATCCCATCATAT